TAAAATGTCATGTGGACGTGCGAAGTCTCCTAGCACAAGCAATCCATTGCTTAAAAGGTGATCTCCAATAATTTTATGTAATGCCTGTTGTATTTGAAATAAACATTATTGTTTATTTTTTTTTTTATTTATTATTGCTTCTAAGAAAGATGCAAGCTTTTGTCATTTGTAAGTCGCCTATATAAGGTCTAACAAAAATAGTGCACAATACTTTAACAGGTGATATAGTACATGATAAGGATTATGTTTACCTAAAAAAAAATGTAAACAACAACATGTTTAATTAAATTTAGCATCACATTTGCAAAATTGTTGTTGTGTTTTTACGCATAATGCCAGCCGTATAGATGCGCGCGGACGTTTATCTTACGGGTCAACGAACGAGCTTTTCGAATAGGTACATAGGAATAGGTACATATTGCAGGATAGCATAAAAAGCAATGAAAATAATAAATGAATAATTGAAGTATTAAAAATAATTGATAAGTTTTTATAAAATATTTCCATAAAAAAATGATGTTTATCACATACTAATTGACCTACTAAAATATTGGGCACTATTTTTGTTACACCTTATAGTTTGTGAAGGATGCTTGCCTTCTTCAAATGGGTAATGTTCCTAAACGCATGGTCTAAAATAGCATGTTAAAAACATTCTATTGAGTATGCTTCATAAGAGAATGCATAAAAACAGTTAACATTTGCTAGCAATAGGCAGTTTTAAGCATGCCCAGAGACTCTTTTATAAGACTTATTATACAACAAAGTTGATACTTCCAGTAGGAAACTAGGAGAGTATCCTGTGTTATTGATACGTTTGCAAACAAATATTTTTATATACTTATCACACCCAAAGCCTGCACAACAATCAGTCGATCATACAAAGAATAAAATATTGTTTCGTGTGGGAAATTGGAATAGAACCCACGACATGTTGCGCAGAAACTGATTGCCAAACCACCACGACAAATGTGCAGTCATTAGAATTATATTATATTATTCTGAATTTGTGATAATGTATGAGAAATATTGAATGATTGCGTCGTTGGCCCAGTGGTCGCAATTGCGACTGCCGGGCAAGGGGTCTCGGGTTTCATTCCCGGGTCGGGCAAAGTATTACTGGGTTTTTAAAAAATTCTCAGTAGTAGCACGGAATCTGGAACTGTACCCGGTATAATATGGCAATAGACTCACCCCCTATTACATAGGACTTATAATGAAAAGTGGGTGTTACATTGTACAGTGGTAAAATGTGCACCTCTGTCTACCTCTTCGAGGATAAATGGCGTGATGTTATGTTATGTATGAGAACTATGGAAAAATACAATAGTAGGTACATATATAATAGATAAAGGTAACAATCATGATATCTATATCTTTACACACAACACAATAATTTTGTTTTAATGTAAATATTGACTTCAACCCGTGTGTAATTTAATGATTCATTCGTTGTTTTGACAAGTTTATAAATAGTTGAAGGATTTCTTCTTCTTCTTAAGATCTTTTGTCCTCTAGATGAGGCAGAGATCCTTCATCTCGATCGGTCTTGAGCTTCCCGCTTAACCTCGCTCCATGTTATGCCGATGCTCGCCGCTTCCACCACCTCAGTTTTATCGGGGACGGGACGCTTCCTTTTCCCCTGCGGATTCCATTCCAAGGCTTGGAGGATTGCATTGGTTGAAAAGAAAGTTTGTCTATTGTTTCGTCCTGATATACTTACGTATACACTGATGACTGTACGATTAGCGCATTGGGGCCTTATCTTATATTATACTCAAGCTTCATTTAATTTTAAGACGCTCTCAAAAATATATGTCTCATTTTTTTTTGAGGGGGAACAAGCCCGCCACATCCTCCCGAAACCGCTGCAACTCCTGTAAGCCAGGATCTACAGTAGATACAACCATGAAAACACCGGAACACTGAAGTCCGGCGCGTCCCAGGGACATGAATAACTGTCTTGGTACCCCTATTAAGTGTGTCATTTACAAATCTATACTAAGATATGAAACTACGCTGATCTATTCTCCTAGGTTGATTTTCGACCCGACCCTGCGGACAACCTAACAGATTACGGGGACTGTGACTTAAAGCAGGAGTAGGAACGGAGTGGTTTTTATTCAGTAAGAGTCTGACCACTCTCTGGCTTCACACAAGGCGGGAGAAGTCATTGAATGATTTACATCCCTCAAAAAAGTTAGTTTTCAAAATCAAAACTAATATTCTCCAAACATCTAGCTGAAATATAACATAAACATAACTTCAAGCCTTTTATCCCCGAAGGGGTAGGCAGAGGTGCAACAACAAGAAAAGAAACATAAAAAAGAACAACAAGTTGGCAACATGTCCATGACAGAAGGACTTGCCAACTTATTCACATTACGGCACTTAATGCCACTGCTGAAGTATACCTATTAAAGTTTATTTATAAAATTGATTTGCGAAAAATATGTACCTGAACGGTGTACCTATGTAAGAAGTGTGGAGTTTGTCTGTAACTAGTGTAAATAAATCATCAAGATAAGACGGAAGGTAAAGTGACGAGAAAATGATAAAACTTTATTATGATGTGTAATATAATTAAATGATTCTATTAAAAACACATTACACTGCGGTGCATATTAATTTAAACATCTTATGGATCAGACGAAAATTGTCAAAGAGTTAAGAATCGTTCCGAAAGTTTTCTTTCAGGTTATCGGAGATTAGTACCTATTCCAAAAGGAAAGATAATTTGGATATGACGTAGGTACCTACAGTGGCCAGCACATCAATGTACTCCAGTATGTAAATTTTTGTCATTCGATTTTCGGCTTTATTTCGAAACAATAGACTTAAAAATCTAATGTAAGAAAAGTATAGGTTTGACTTGCTATTCACTCTACCCTATTTTTGGAAAAGTTTAAATTCTCGAACTAGATTAGGTTAGATCATATCTAGTACCGACATTGAGTAAATATTTAAGTATCTTTGCTGCATCTACATCATAATTGTATTAAGCGCCATCTATTTGTTTATCGTTGAACTTCGCTTAGTACATGCTTTCCACAAGGACAAGGCAACCACAAGGTATTCATCAGATCTCATTCTTGCTTCTAAACTAAATAGTTACCTAAAATATATGAAAGAACAATTAAAAGATGGCATAACTTTGTTACTTCAGAGCATCACGCCTTAAAGGTTACGGAGGGGTACCTACAGTAGTGTCACCTTTTTATCAGTAAGCGTATCTATTGCCATACATACCTACTATTCCAGTGTCCGTTCTACAACTGAGAATTTCCAAAAATCCAAAAGCCGAAAAAAAGGTACTTTGCCCGACCTATGTAAGATTAAAATCAAATTGCAGAGCAAAGCAATCATGCAACTGACGGCTGCGGACCAATGACGCAGTGTAATATTATTATTATTTTCTATTCCATTCAACTTACTGTTTTCCTCAAAATGCAACCGGTTTGCGTATGCCTTGCCAAAGTTGTTAAAAATCGGGTTTCTGTTGCACGGCGCACAAATTATGTTTTTTACTACAAATTATATTGAACTGCATGGCAAGTCAAAATAAGTAGAGACGTTTAAAATTTCATACTTTCCATAATCAAAAATAACTTATTTCTACTCTTCAATACAATAAAATATTTAAAAATAAACACTTTCATTATATATTTTATGACCAACTGAATTTTAGTATTTCGCCAGCAAATTTTTAAGAAATAATCATATAAGTACACTGTTTGACGCCTAAAAACGTGACGTAAAAATACACAATCTCGTACAAGATTTATAGAAAACTGTCGTTTTTGACAGTTCGAAAAAAGTATTGAATTTGACTAGTTGGCAAGTTCCCAATTATAACTAGACCATAACTTCACCTCGTTTTTATACTAGATAGCGTAAATTAGAATAACCATCGATTATTGCGTGACCTGGACATAGAGTGTGATCTGCATTTATTTATGTTTGTTTAGGTACTACCATGGATCGTATCGTTACTTACGTACAGAGGCCTTAGTACGAGTTTGTTTGTTCGTTCGGCACTCTGATTAGCCGGCGCCAATGAACCAACCAATCAGAGCGCCGAACGCGTCCTCGTTACGATTACTTTAAACGTAAATCAAACTCGTACTAAGACCTCAGGCTACCTAATGATAAGCGGCTATATTATATTCCGTAAACCAAAAAGATACATCTGCAATAGGTACTAAACGCATGCATAAGATTTTTGTCTTAGATAGTTGGTATTTTTGTGTGTTTTCAGAGTGAGATCTGTTATATATGTCGTCACCGAAAATGATGACGTCATTACATATATTGAGCATATGGAACACTTAAACACTAAATCACTGTTTTGTAAGTGGATGGTACCTACTTCCCTGGTCGAGTCGGGTCATTTAAATATAGAAGCTAAGAAACCTGGAAATTTTATTCAAAAGATAAATCAATCTCAAATACACCCCTGATCCATAGAAACGCAATAGTTCCGTCACCATTTTACGTCAGCAACACCTAACTACATAATTTTGCATTTTGAAAAACACAAAAAATACCTACACAAGCGCACAATGGCGATAAAAATCATAATATTCAGTTTTAATTTGAAGAACGACCGTGAAAAATGTGTTGTTATAGATTCATTTTTGTATCGCACGTGACTTTTGATATAGTCATTTGTTAGGCTCAGTTAATCGGTAATATAACTTCGAAAAAGCGAATTATTCGGGAATGGTTATAGCGCCAAACTCTTGTTGACAACAATTGTACTAAAGTGCCAATACCGTTGTTATTTTTGCTCTAACACCATCATAGCCGTTACTAGTAACACATCAATTACAAGAAACAACTACGAATACTTGTATCTTAATTTCCAGTCAAATATAAAGATTATTCGTAAAAACAAACAAACGTAGAATAAAATTAAGGTTGTGTTCGTTTTTCTGCACTGAAGTGTACATGCTACGGCAGAGACGTCTTTGGTGAACATCTAATTGACACAAGATCAAACTCGTCGAGGATATGGTTGTGCTCAGTGTTTGAAGTTGTTATAAAATTAAAATAAAATTATTGTGTTTCAAAAAATATGGAATTGAATTCAAATTTTGTGAGTATACCTTTTTTATAATATGAAAGTGTGTCTGTATTTCACGACAAAACGAAACGACGAATTGACGTGATAATTTTTAAATAGTGGAAAATCTGTGCTTAATGTGATTCTTGTGAAACATTATTTTCTACTGATATGCCTGAAAAAGGTCAACAATCCAATACTGGATAGCCTGTTTAAGTGGCCAGCTGCCCCCTCTACATAGGCAAATGGGGTTAGCCAGTTTAAGTGGTCAGGTATATCAGAAGATTTATTTATTTAAGGGAATGGACAACTCTCTGTGAAATATGTTGTACCCCAAGTCGTCTCACCGTAATTATCGGTCTTCGATTGGGGTATGCAAGGATGCACGATTCATCAAGCTTCCTCGTGCGTACTGCTAAAGAGTGGAATTTTTTGCCAGAGTCTGTATTTCCTGAAGGGTATCAACCTGGGAGTCTTC